TGTATCACCAGTGATCAGTCAAGTAGAAACAGTCAAAATATTTTATCAGTTTTTCTCAATTTTTGCATGATATTTTCATACAGGACATCTGTTGTTCAAACTCAGGGAAGACTTTATACTGATGAACAAGGTGACCAAGTTTGATGAAGTTTGGAATAGAATTAGTAAAGTTATCATGCACACAATAACAATTATTAACGACGACGACAACGCCGGACAAAAATTTTCCCTTAATATACCTTTCCCTTCCATCTTTGATGGTACGGGCAAGGTAAAAAGGAATACAGTATTAATCAAGATGTCACAAAGCTAAACTTTCAAAAAATCTCTGCAAGGACTGTCTTGATATCTGGAAGGACATGCAAAGGGCCGATTCAAAACTCAGAACATATCAGCTTTTCAAAAATGATATAAAACAAGAAGTCTACATAGATCAGCTTAATGATAGACAGGCAATCAGAATTCTAAGCAAATTGAGACTGAGCAGCCACAAATTACATATAAAAACAGGTAGACATACACAACCAAAAACAAATATTGAGGACAGAAAATGCATCAAGTGCCAAGTCATAGAAGATGAATTGCACTTTATCACAGAATGTGTACTTTATGAATCTGAAAGACAGGAATTATATTCCTTGTTTGATAACATCAATGGTATCAAAAACAAGGACAAATTTATATCTATTACGAATGCCCATACTAAACAATTACTGGGGTTAATTAGATATATCAAAACAGCGTATACAATAAGAGAGCAAATAATATTAACACAGTAGTTTGTTTGTCACATTTTTTGTTTTGTTTTTAACTTTATTACCTTCTACACGTGTAGAAACCAAAAGAGAATTGTCAAATTTTCTTTAATGTTGTATTAAAGCAATATTCTATTCTATTCTACATGTATAATAAAACGATGAATATGTTTGGCAATCTGTTTTCTTTGGCAATGACTTTTTTATCACATACATGGCTTTGATAGCTTCATCTGTAGTGTTGTCTTTAGCCTCAGTTAATCTCCCATTTGATTAAAAGAAACAGAAAGAGAAGCCATCATATCTCGATGCTTTTTTACTCCTCGGATTTTCAATAGCACTTTTAATTTCCTTTTCTGAAATTTTATTGTTGATCAGATTATTTAATTGTTTGGTATTTTCAACAATTAATGTGTCAGACATTATATTCATCTGGAAAATATCGTTTTTATCATTCTTGTTATACATGTAGTAATCTTCCCACTTTTCAGCAGAAATGGGGTTAAATACCTTGCACTACATATGCAGCCTCAGGAAGTTGATGTACCGGTATACAAACTTTTTAACGACCGAAATTATTGTGTCACACTCGATTTTTTCAGGCTTTAATGTGTCGTACGTCACATGTGAATATAAAGTAGTACTCTACGCATTGTTTCATACCCACCATATTTCCTTATAATGTCATCAGACGACGTGATAAAAGGAAAGAATATAGCACTTCAAAAATGGCGCTTTGTTTATCCCATGATGCCTAGGTAAAAAAGACGGTGTTCATAGCACGAGGTTCGTTTCATCAATAGTTTTAATATTTGTTACATTACATATTTCATTCATTTATAATAACAATTCAATATTATACATACCTCTAATCAGTGATTTTGTTTATATAACCAATAACGTGACTTCAGATTCTTGAATAAGCAAACTAGAAACAGTATGACATGTCAAGGGTCACTGTTGTTTGCATATTAATTAACTCTGGTCAAAACAACGTGGTTTGACATTACTTGGCTTGAAAAACCCACAATTTCAACGAACATGAGTAGAAGAGAGCAATATAAACAAGGCCCAGCCGGGGAAATGGGAAAATCACGGAAGAAAAGACGACAGAAAGAGACTGGTAAGCTTAAACGACTATTTACGAGATTCGTGTAACTGATCACGCACGCCCCTGGCTCGCTTGGCGTCATTGACTGGAGAAACCTCAATTTACATGACATTTTGGAAAAATAATTGCCGATTGACAGCAGTTTTTAGTTATTATATAACTGTTGTTATAATTTAAGGGCAGTCTCACCTATTATATATTCCCCTCATAGTCAGATGTGTTATTTCTGTTTCCGAGATAAAATGATTTAAACAAACGCTATAATATAATTGTGTTCTTTTCATGGGCTTAGATGTAATTGAGGTTACATTCATCGATTGTAGTTTCTTAATTAAGTATAAATCTTTTTTTTATTCAAGCAGTTTACTTATGTTGTAAAACGATTGTGATAATAACGTTTTATGTGGTGACTTGGTGCATAGAACAAATAAAAAACACTTGACCATTCCATTTTGACGCTAAATTAAAATTTGCAATAGTCCATTTATGCAATATTGCCTATATGCCTTTTCTCTATTTGCAACGTTATTCCCAAATTTATTATTACTTCAACCATGGATATAATTAAACTAACATGAAAATGCATGACTGTATTCTGTATTTACGTTATAGCCGTGAAGGTTATTGTATAGTGACAAGTGTTGTTGTGCAGTGCTGTAACACAGGACATTGACCCTGGCTTATTACAATGACAATCATTTGTACTTGCCATTGACTAATATGGCTGGGCCTTTTCCACCAATCAGATCACTGGATTCACAATTTCTATATATACATCAAAAGGTTAAATATTAATTGAGCTTAATTTAGCAGATTTGACATTGACATGATTCCTGGTTTGTGAACCCCCCCCCTCCCCCACCGGGGGGAGTTGAGCAAGGCTAACTGAGTAGTGACCTCGATGTGGTTCGTAACCAGTCTTGTGATTGGGGTGTTGACAAATGCTGAACAGGCCACGCCTCCAACTGTTCCTAAATGGAGTAAATTTGTGTAGTTTTCTTGATTTATTCTGCAGATATCGATAAAATGTAGGTAGGGCTTTGGCGAAATTTGAAGAAGCAACCAACTAATATTCTTCAACCTGGTATTTTTTTTATATTTTATTTTTCATTCTTTTCGTCTGTTTTTTTGAGTTTAAAAAAAGTGAGCTGACTCGAGCCTTCATCCCTTGTCTATTTCTTATACTAGATACCAGCCGATACCCCCCCCCACCCCCCGCTCATAGAGACTGCGTGTTACAGTTGATTATAGTTCCTGGGCTCCCTGTGAAAAAACAAAACATTCTATCATTTAAATATTTACTAGGATTTTACTAAAATGCATTTAGCTATCAGTAAAACAGAAAAAAATAAAACTACCGGTAAGCTCTAAACAGTAGATTGAGCTATTCATTTGGAATTCATATGATTTCAAGTATCCTTCAAGTATTTTATTTAAATATACTATATATGATAATTTTGCTATATGCCTAATTACTAATCTGAAATATAACAGTTCTAATAGTGAAATTAACAAGTTTGGAATGAATGGGGTGAAACATTCACGCACAAGTTGATTTCTAGTTACTAGTATCCTGAATAACATTTTATTTAAATATATATATAATAATTTTGCTATACGCCTAATTACTAATATGAAAAATAACAGTTCTAATAGTGAAACTAACAAGTTATTGAAAAAAGTGAACAGAGATAAAGATGACTGATTTTAAAAATGGGAAAATTCAATTTTATGGATCATGTTTATCAGTAATTAACAACAGTATAGAGAATGTCATATAAAAGTATTCACTACGTTCAATTACCCACCATAGACTCTGGTAGCCGTCCTTCACTCTGGTTCCTTTCTCTCCGCCTCGAGGACTTAGATCAACGCGACGGAAAGAGTGGGGAGGTTGGGGGGGACCCGGAGTCTATGGTGGGTATGAACTATGTGAATAGGCGGGTTCGGAGAACCCTCGCCTAAATTCACTACGTTCAATTACCCACCATAGTCTCCGGTCA